TGATTTTAAAGAGTTCTAATAAATAAAATATTTTTTAAAAGAGTGGCTAACATTTATCCTACGGGTAGGTTTTTCTAGAGCCAGGTGATAATATAAATTTTAAAGAGAATTTCTCTGAGTTTCTTATATCCCAGCCCTCTTAGGGCCTAGCCCTTTTCCTCATAGCCATGTACCCTAATCCTTCAGCCTGTGAGAAGCTTTGGCACTCATCCCTGTTCTGACTGGAAGCCCCAAGTCTGCTGAAGTGCATTTCATTTTCAGCAGGTTCAGAATGGAGTCAGTATCAACAATCCCTTTCTGGGTTCCCGTACTCAGGTGGCCTGGACCCCATCACCCTACTCATGGCTGAGTAGTTCTTCCTTCTAGACCTCAAACCTAGAGATGTCCTGAGGAAGCCCTATTATTTTTGATCCTCTGGAGGAAATCCATGGGCACTATGAACTTGCATAGGAAAAAAAATTTGCATTTGTAGTTTTAGTAACCTTTGGGAGAAAGACAAGGCTTTCTACTCCTGTAAAGAGTCTCTGTGATCGTGAGGTTCATTGGGACCACGTAGCAAGCATCAGAAGATCCTTAATGATCAAACAAAACCATATGGTTGAGAATGAGGGGGAGTCAGAGCAGAGACCCAAAGCCCATCTGTCGACATTCGAACATCCCCCACAGAGGGGTCACCCCGAAGGGATGAGTCAGCCATGGTGCAGTAAAGCACCGATGAAACACAATATTCCTCTGGTTCTTTGAGGCTTCTTCACCCCCCACCACCATGACACCAGTGATGCCTCTCACTTAGGACTAGACTGGAGCCGTGTACACAGGTGGAGGTAAGAAAAAGAGCTCATGATACATGCCGCCCAGGAGCAGGAATGGGAAGAGAGATACCAAATGGGAAGGGGGGGGGGAGGGGAACAATCACAATGACTGACACACAACCACACACACCCCTCCAGGGGAAAGAACAGATGAAGCCGTGGTAGAATGGAGACAGTGGTCAGTGTGAGATATGAAAATCTCAATAATTTATAATCTATGGAGGGGTCACGGCGGGTGGGGAAGAGTAGCTGATACCAAGGTCTCAATAGAAAGTAACTGTCTAGAAAAGAATGATGGCAACGTATGTAGAAATGTGCTTGATACAATTGGTATATGGATTGTAATAAGCATTGTAAGAGCCCTCAATAAAATATAAAGCAAAAGAGTTGTAGTCTTAGAAACTCACAGGGGCAGCTCTACCCTGTCCTATAAGGTTGCTTTCAGTCAGAATTGACTGGATGGTAATGAGTTTGGGCTTTTCAGTAACCTCTAATTGAATTTTGGACTACCTTACATTACAGAAGTAGGCAAAACTCCACTCCAGCATCAGCAGTACCCAGACCTTTCCCCAGTAGAAATCTACTTCCTTGTTTACATTGTATTTTGTGAGTCCTCCAACTTAGTTCTTCCTTTTAAGATTTTAGCTCTGCTTGGTCCCATAAATTTTTATATGGGTTTTAGAATCAGCTTGTCTATTTCTCCAAAGAAACTAGCAACTATTTGTGACTTTGATAGAGATTGCGTTGAATCTATAGATTAATTTGGGCAATATTACTGTCTTACAATATTAAGTTATATGATAAATGAACATGGGGTGTTTTTAATTTTATTTAGGTCTTAATTTCTTTCAATGATATTTTATAATATTTAGAGCAGGGGTCCTCAAACTACGGCCCGCAGGCCACATGCGGCCCACTGAGGACATTTATCCAGCCCACCAGGTGATTTTGCCCTGTTTGTTTTTTTACTTCAAAATAAGATGTGTGCAGTGTGCATAGGAATTTATTCACAGTTGGTTTTTTTTAAACTATAGTCTGGCCCTCCAATGGGTCTGAGGGACAGGGAACTGGCCCTCTGTTTAAAAAGTTTGAGGACCTCTGATTTAGAGTATATGTTTTACACTTGTGAATTTCTAAATATTTCATCCTTTTTGGTGCTATTGTAAGTGAAATTGCTTCATCAATTTCATTTTTGGAATATTTATTGTATGTGTAGAAATAAAACTGATTTTTGTGTCTTGATCATGTATTTTTAGCCTTGCTAAAATTGTTTGCTAGTTTTAGTATTAGTGGATTTCTTAGGATTCTTTCTCTATAAGATCATGTTATCTGCAAATAGAGAATTTTACTTTTTTTCTGATTTGTATGCCTTATTATTGCCTAAATGCAATGGTTAGAAGCTCTAGTGACAAGAATGGATGTCTCTGTCTTGTTTTTGTTCTCACAGGGAAGACATCTAGTCTTTTACCATTCAGAGCTCTGGGTTTTTAAATACCGGTGGTGATCTTCTTTTTACAAATTCCTTTCATTTTTCATATCTGGGAATACTTATTTCTCCCTCATAGTTATGATAATTATGTTGGCTACAAGATTCACTAGTTGAGAACTTTTTCCTTTCACTACTTTAGTATGTCACTCCATTGTCTTCTTGCTTGTATGGTTTCTGCTGGAAAATATCCGAACTTATTCTAATTGTTGCCACTGTGAATGTCACTGTTATTTTTTTCTGCTGTCAGAATTATTTCCTTTTGGTTGACATTGGAGAGTTTGACTACAGTATGACATGATGTTTTTCTTTTGATG